TATATATATATATATATTTAATTTTTTTAAAACTTTCACATCGAGTTTTTAATAGTAGTGTATTTGTTTTTATTTCTAATGCAGAGATATATAAATAGAAATAATTAAAAAATTATTAATTAGAAAGAAATGTAAATGTTTATTTTGAAATAAAAATAGTGGAGAGTAAAAAAATAGTAGAGAAAGATTCAAATTATTTTAAAATTAATCTTTGATTGATTAAGTAATCTTGATAGAAATTAAGGCAAACTGTTAATAATTCTATAAATTCTATTTAATATACTGAAAATTCTGTTTCTTTTTTTGTTATGTACAATGCAATTATTAAAACTTATTTACAATAAAAAAATAATATAAAAATACATAAGTACAATTTTTTGTATCTGATGTCAACAATTTTAAATCTTGATTATAAAATAATAATTATTGTCTATATTACTTGTTTTTAATTTTTTAAAAGATCACTTATAATTTGTTGAAATCTTTATTTCTGATAAAAATTTATAAAAAAAAAAAAAAACAATTCAAATATTCTATCTTTTTCCAAAAGGCAAAAAAATATTTTATAAAATTTTTTATTTATTTTAATTTTTTATTTTTTAATCGATAAATTTTCTTTAATATAATATTCATTGTATTACAATAATATATGAATGTATCATATAGAATAAATTTTATAGAATATAATTAGAACATTATAGAATAAATGTATTAAAGAAAATATGAAATTTGCAACTTATATTATCATATATAATGAAGTTTATAATAAGAATTTTTGAAGAAGAAACATTTTTATATTAATATAATATAGTGAACGATGTTTTCTTATTGTCAATAAGAGACTTTCATTTGATTTTTAATACTTAAATGATTGTCATTATGCGAAAAGAAAATCAATAAAAGTGTGTTGTCGAATCGAAGTGAAAAACATAATCATTTTGATGGGCATTACTACAAAAAAAGACATCACATTCGTTCAAAATCATATGAATAGTCCTACTTATCTTAATTTAGAACAAATTAAGAAGCGTGTCGTGCACGTTGCAAGAGATATCTTCATTTTTCAAGAGGACAATGCCACCGTTCACATTACAGAACATCCTTAAAGACTACACATCTCTCACGTGATAATATTCTACTTATGAACTGATGGAAGGAGACACACTCACCTGATTTCAACTTTATTGAGACATTGAATGCTACATTTAAATAAGAGAATTAGAAAATATCATTGAGTTGAATCAAATTGAAAAATTATTATTATTTTAATCGATAATTTAATTTTCAATATATATATATATTTGTCTTTAAGAGATCTTTAATTATTATTTTCTTTAATCGAAAATATTCGAAAATTCAGTGTAAAGAAAATTGTAAGAACTGTAAATAATAAAAATATACATATTGTATTTCAGTTCTAAAAATTGTATAATTAATTCTATTGTAAAATATTAAAATATTAAAATACATTAAAATATTAAAATATCTATTATTATGAAAGAGTAAAATAACCGTTATTTTTCAATACTTTTTTCATTTTTTTAAACTATTTAAATTGTATGAAATAGAACAAAACTTGAAATTTATATAGGATGGTTCACCTAACTGTTAATAAATTGGATTATAAAAATTAAATTTTAATAAGGTCACATTTCAATATCATTATTTTTTTTATAAATAAATATATAAAAATTGAATCTAGAAGAGATTGATTCTATAGGATTTAATATTTTTTAATATATTAATCAACTGTTTTTTACAAATATTGAGTAAGCTATTTACGTCGAAAAATTATTAGTTTAAAAGATATTTAAATTTGAATTTTATAAAATTTATTATGTTTTATGATATTCAAGTTAAAATCACGATAAAATAATATTTATTAATGCATTAAATATTATATGATTTTTAAAAATCAAAAATTATATATGTAATCTTTGTCACATTGATCTGTAGAAAAACTAATTACACCAAAATATGCACTTTTTGAAATCATTCAAAGTTTAATGAAACATTTTTTAATATTATAAAAAAACAAAGGAAATATTCCAAATGAATTATAAAATTAGATGAATTATTCTATAAAATATAAATAAATTTTAATACTTTATCATTCTATTATAAAAATTATTTTAATTGTATTTAAAAATTGTATTTAAAATATGAAAGAATGTTGAAACATTAAGAATTGTTTTATTTCTTTAAAGACATTTTTTTTTCGCTGAAAGAAAAAAATTATTATATGTACATAACATATACATACATAACAATACATAAACAATTTATTAAAATCAGAATTTTTATGAATTGTCCTATAAAAAAAAATAGGATAATAGTTCGAATAATCTTACAAGTATATTAAAAATTGGATAATTATAGATTTTATCGAAAGCAATATTATTTTTTACCTTTTGATCAAGCGTAATTTCTTTACAAATACGAAACGTGTGTATTCTTCAATTATCACGAAAATTTACCGATAAAATTATCGAATATTGCGCAATAATAATCCGTTATTGATTATTGATAATTGATAATAATAATTATGTGATATTCAATCGCATAATAATACGTCATGCGAGATAGATATTGATCGATATATTCCACGAATCGATAATCGAAATTGTACTGTTGGATGCAAAAAGAGTCTCAGGAAAATCTTTTTGAATAAAATTGTGAATTTCGTGATATTGTATCCTCAAAACTAACAAAGTTGCAACATTGTTTTATAAGTCAATATTGATCAATTCTTACTTTTCTAAAAATATATAAACTGAGGCCTGTCATTGAGCCCATTCCCGCATTCAACAGCACAATTATAGAAATAAGTGGGATAACTATTTACCGAATAAAACCGAAAGAAAACAATTTTTAAAATTTTTTTTCCATTCGTTTCGGTTTCGACAGCTTCGAATTTCATATATTACATGAAATTAAAAATAAAAAAAAAAATACATACAAATATATATTCGATTTTTAGACAGAAACTAGCACGATTTTATAATGTTCAACATATTGTAACGAACAAGCAATGTGAAAATGTTTTTGGAATCAAGGT